CACAGTTTATATTTAAAAGAACAAGGTAAGTATTGTTCAGATACTTAATTAAGATTAGAGAAATTATCTTTATTTGTTGGAAAACTCATTTTACAAAGAGTAATAATATATTTGAAGTGAGCCCTCAATCTCAACACTCAAGACCAAGTGGTGGAACATTAGCTGGCCTTGATAGTAAAGGAAGTGTGGAAGAAAGTAAAAAAAGAAGGAGAATAACATCAGCCAAGCAAGCAGCTGAAAGTTCACCATCTGGTGATGAAACTCCTTCTGCATCACCATGTCTGGTAACTCTTTATCCAGGGGTTAGAGTTGTGTCTGTTGCTGCAGGTGGGCGCCATACTCTGGCGTTATCAGGTAGTTTCTCCAAACTCTGGATTGATGCTGTTACAAATCAAAGTGGCCTGTTTTAACTGGAAATTTCGTTTGCTTCACTAGGCAATATCTTATTTGGTGTTCTAGATAGAAGTTTAATTTGAAGCAAGGTTTCTGATGCATCCTAATTTTACCAAGGTTTCTGATGCATCCTAATTTTACCAAGGTTTCAGATATTGGACAGGTGTGGGGTTGGGGTTATGGAGGTGAAGGGCAGCTTGGTCTTGGCTCCAGGATACGTCGGGTATCATCTCCTCATCCTGTGCCTTGTATCAATAACTTATCTTCTCAGAAAGATAGATCTGCAGCACTTTCTCATGGAAGCATGAGTTCAGAGGGGCACGGTTTTAGAATTCCTGGAAGTTATGTGAGGGGGATTGCCTGTGGGGGGCGACATAGTGCAGTAATCACAGGTATGCCGCTAATATTTTGTTTCTCTATCTAATTTAACTGTCATGTAAATTTTAGGAAGCTGTTGATTTTAAATATATGCATAGATATTGCAAAAATTGAATGTTCAATTAAGCTTGTTATGAATGTATGCAAAATCAAGAGATATATGGCTTTCAGCAAAATAAGCATGGTTTTTACAAATGAAAAGAGGCCATTAGTACAATTTTCAACAAATTTTACAATGATTGTAGAAAAATAGTAACCTAGCTAGGATCATTGATTCCTTTGACATGTAATATCCATCTCTTATATCCTCAAGGGTCAAGACACAGGATCAGTTACATAGATTATGTCTTCATTAGTCAGGTCTGATGTAATTGTTTTTCCAGCAAAAGATGTTCTGCTAATCTGATACCTGATTTTCTTGTTTATATCTTGGTAATTTTTAAGTCAGTATTGTCTAATGCTGTATTTTCTGCATTTAACAGATGCTGGAGCGCTACTGACATTTGGTTGGGGTCTCTATGGACAGGTTAGTTACCATTACCACAAACCTAATGGCACATTGAATGTTCCATGCATCTTGGTAACATCTTTAAATTGATGCATAGAATGGCTGATTATTTGGACATTGATTGAGGAACAAAAGTTTGCAAGAGAACATGTTCCTATGCTTTAGTTATTTTGTAAAGTCCGAGATATTCCCTTATTGAAGATCTTTCAATGAATATGTTGGTTGCTTGTTGTTATATATTATATTCTGTGATCAAGCCAATTTTACTGACTGCAGTATTGGTTGTTTGTAGTTCCCTCCTCTACAAGCTATTGTAGAGATTGAATTGTCCTAGGGAATCAATTCTTATGCAAAACTTAATTCCAAAAAAAATGGAGATGGGTGTCAGTTCTTGTTTTGCATATTGTTGTGTGTTGTTATGCTAATATTCTTGGTCAAGGTTGTATTTCTTGTCTGCCTAAGCCCCTCTTGTCTTTTATGTGAACTGATCATTTCTTAAGTTTGGCAGCTTTGTTGCACATAACCAAACCAGATTTTTAGAAAAAGTTGCTCTGAACACCTTAATGCACCAGCATTGGAAAAAGCCGCTATCAATTTGATGATAAAGGGTGTTTTCCTCTTTTAGTATCTAATCAAAGTGTTACTCAGACTGAGGACTTATGATTCCCATGTTAATTGTGACAAATGGATAAATGATACTCACTTTCATTCCATCTGTTTGCTCTGCCTTGATTTATCTTTCCTCTGAGGAGCTTTGTTAGTTTAGCCATCACACTTAAAGTCCTGTAAAACTCTAATTCATTTTGGTTCACAGTCATTCTTCTTTGCATTTGAATGCTTGAATGTGATCTAGCTTGTTGCTTTAAATTATTCTAATGTTGCGAAGCATCTAAGTTTGGAAATATCTTCTACTAATTCGAATTATATTATCTTTATAATGGTGGAATTTCCTGAATTAGTATGTAGGTAAAGTAGAATTTGGTGGAGATAAAAGCACAGAAGATGGGATTCTCTATTAAAGGGACAATCCTCAATTCTTTTTCAAATATTTTGTCACCATTCTATTCCATTCGGTAGACTGTTCAATTTTTTATTTGTCATGATCTTGGAGGGACGAAACTCTTGATTTTTCATATTGTTTTTTCAAGTGTGGGCAAGGAATTACAGATGATGAATTAAGTCCAGCTTGTGTATCTTCCTTACTGGGCATCAGGATTGAGGGAGTCGCTGCAGGTTTGTGGCACACAGTTTGCATATCAGCTAATGGAGATGTGTATGTATTTGGTGGAAATCAGTTTGGGCAGTTGGGAACTGGCAGTGATCAGGCTGAGGTATGCATTGAAGTTTCCTTTATTACATCCAAGTTCTTTCTCTGAAACCATGATAAGCTTGTATGAAGATCGGATTCCTTTATTATTCCATGTGATATTGAAGGTGGATATCTAGAACAAGCTAATAAACTGGAATCCTAGCATATTTATCATGGCTACTTTGTATTTTCTAGAATTGGGGACAGCATCCTCCCCATGCTACTTATATATATATATATGTGTGTGTGTGTATATATATATTTTATTTTGTGAACGAAGTTTGTGCAATTGACTTCAGCATTTTATTGAACTTCTAAATCAGACCGAACCCAGGCTCCTAGATGCTCCAATCTTGGAAAATGAAAATGCAAAAGTTATCACATGCGGTGCTCGTCATAGTGCCATAATCACAGGTATTCTCTTTATGCATCTTTTAAGATAAATCAAGTCTATCACCTCTTGTGCTTGAGCTTAAAGTGTCGCCTGGAAGGCCCCATCTGAAAGACTGAAACAGTAAGGTTAAAGCTATGATGCCGCAACACACACACTCACTCCAAAACCTACCTATAAAGGAAAGCTGGCTCCTAGTAAATTTTTTCTATCGGATTTGAAGTCTAGAATATATACCTTGTTTTTAGAAAAATGGATATGCATCTTGACTTGTTATATGCTTCTGTTGCTTGAAGATGATGGAAAAATATTCTCCTGGGGATGGAACAAGTATGGCCAGGTACCGTGCTCACACTATCCACTGATACAAGTATTTGGTTAAATTTATGCTTATTGCGCTTACTAGGCAAACATTTATGTACTACTACATATCATTAAGAAAAGAAGAAAGAGAAGTAATAAATTAATCGTCCTTCAGTTTCTTATGAACTTCTTGATCTGTATAACAGCTTGGCCTGGGCGATGTGGTCGATCGCAACATTCCTTCTCAAGTTACAATTGAAGGTGTCAGCATTAAAAACATTGCATGCGGATGGTGGCACACGCTGCTCCTGGCTGAGTTACCCACTTGACTTGAGTACCCCTTCACCTCTTACAGCTCCTGGAACAGTTTTGTTAGGTTAGTTTCTTTGGATTTTATGAATCACCCCAAGCATTATGCTCTCATTCTTTTTATAGTTGAGAGTCTTTGCCATGATTAGGCACCTACTGTTGCTTTCAGCGCGACTTGGGTCCTTTTTGTGATTTTTTTTTTCTCATAAAAAACAAAACTACAAGAACAAGATAATGCCAAGTGGACTTGCAAGTAATAATGGAGAAGAAGTATTTAATTTCTTCAAGGGGGTTGCAAAAATTCGGACCTAATGTTCAGTACGTCCATCACAATTGCTCATTTCGTGAGTCTCAAGGTCTACTTATTTGACAATTGTAGTGAACATCTAGTGTCAGGACCTTTTAATTTTCATATCTCCCTTCTTCAAAAGTCAAAAGCTCAAAGTCGTCTCATATCTGTCAAATATTTCTAGAAGGGTTGAAAATATTTTGGAGTCCACACTAAGCCAAAATGGGGCTGACGTTATGGCCGTTGACTTTTTTCCCGATAAGGCTACCGCCCACCGGTTTGCTTTTATAGTCATCAATGTTATTATTAATTTCATCATTTTGTAGTCTTTTTCTTATAAAGCATAACAGATGGTTTGAAAATATTTATTTATACATTAATTTTAATTTATGAAATAGTAAATATTAAATATTAATTATTTTTAATAATTAAATTAAAGTAAAAATTTAACTACTTTGATGGCTTTAATAAAAATAATAATAGTTGATATGTTTTGTGATTTAATAGTTATTTTATATGTTGTTGAGAGTATTTTTCTCTCTTATAAGAGTAGAGTATTTTCATCTTTGTAGAGGTGTGGTTTTAAACTTTTAAGGCTTATTTTTGTATTAATATAATAATAATAGCCATTACCAGCCCGAAAATGCCCTTCTAAATGATAAGATTTACGTCATCTTCCCGCAGCAATTTGCGCCCCATCCACCATTTAAGACCATGAAGTATTGACGCTTTCCAACTGTCTGTCTGTCTGTCTGTCTTCCTTCTCTCTCGATGGAAGAAACACTGAAACGCGTCCTGACAACGGCGGTGCTGCTGCTGACTTCCGCCAACTTGGCCTTATCCGCCACCCGCTGCCCCGACTGTGGCTCCACTCCCGTGCCTTACCCCCTCAGCACGGGGCCAACGTGCGGTGACCAGTCTTACAAAATCCGCTGTAACGCAAGCACCCTGTTTTTCGACTCAGTGAACAACTCCTACCCGATCACCTCAATCAGTCCTTCAATTCAACGGTTGGTGATTCAGCCAGCCAGTCTCTTACCCAACACCTGTGTCACGTCAGATCTCCGCTTCCAGGGCCTCCAGCTCAACAACAGCCTCCCGTTCAACGTCACCAGCAGCAACACCATCCTCTACTTGAACTGCACTCAAACACTGCTTGGCTCGCCGCTGAACTGCTCATCGGCTAGCTTGTGCCACTCCTACATCAACGGCACCAGCGGCGCCGCTCCCTGTGAAAATGCGCCAATATGCTGCACGTTCGGGACGGGTGGGTCATCGACGGCGTACTCCATTCGGGTTCGAGACTCTGGGTGCAGGGCGTACACCAGTTTCGTGAACTTGAACCCGGAATTACCCGTTAACAGGTGGCCGGAGCCCGGATTGGAGATTGAGTGGGTGTCGCCGCCGGAACCGGTCTGCAGCTCTCAGGCTGACTGCGACGGCAACTCGACGTGCGGACCCGACCCGGCTTCGAACGGGGTCAACAGGTGTTTCTGCAACTCTGGGCTCACGTGGGATCCAGTTCAAGGGGCTTGTGTTGACGGTAAGTCTTTCTTATTCATAATGCTATTATACGTGGCGCCATTTGATTTGCTAAAAAAGCTCTGGTCTTTTTTTGACTTTCCTCGCAGAAGTTACGTGTCAAAGTCAAGGAAATTGTGGCGGCACGGATAGAACAGCACTCATTGCCGGTAAGACGAAGAAATAAAAAATATATGGATCCTTTTAGTAAATCACAAGGTGAAAACGTATTTCACTGTTAGAATGTAGTATTATACTTTTTTTATTATTAATTTGTATAGAAAATTATGAAAAAAAAATTTATTAATTTTTATAGAAAATTATGAAAATTAACTTTATTTTTAATGATAATATTAATAAAAAAATATAATAATTGGATACATTTTAAAAAACATTTACTATAGAATAAATTCATAGAAGAAAACTCTAATTTTAGTCAAAGCTTTAATTTTTTTTAGGTTTGACTGCCGGACTTGGCGGCGCTCTGGCGCTGACAACCGTGGCTTTTCTACTCTACAAACGTCACAGGCGCATTATAGAAGCGCAGGAGCGCCTGACCAGGGAGCGAGAAGCAATCCTGAATGCCAATAACGGGGGCAGAGCGGCGAAGGTCTTTACGGGAAAAGAGATTAAAAAGGCTACAAACAACTTTGCCAGGGATTGCATACTCGGTGCTGGCGGATATGGAGAAGTGTACAAAGGAACCCTTGCTAATGGCACGGTTGTGGCCGTCAAATCTGCCAAGCTCGGAAACGCGAAAGGCACTGATCAAGTCCTCAATGAAGTCCGAATTCTGTGCCAAGTTAATCACCGGAGCCTTGTTCGCCTGCTTGGATGCTGTGTCGAGCTAGAACAGCCTATTATGGTTTATGAATACATTGAGAACGGAAATCTTTTCGATCATATACGTGGTCGGAATGCCGGAGTAAGAAGCCAGCTTACCTGGAGACGCCGCCTCCAGGTTGCTCATGATACTGCAGAAGGTCTTGCATACCTCCACTTCTCTGCCGTTCCCCCAATCTATCACCGAGATGTAAAGTCTAGCAACATTCTTCTTGATGAGAACTTGAATGGCAAAGTTTCAGATTTCGGGTTATCTAGACTGGCTCAGACGGATATGAGTCATATATCGACCTGTGCTCAGGGCACCCTCGGATATCTAGATCCCGAGTATTACCGGAACTATCAATTGACAGACAAGAGTGACGTTTACAGTTTTGGAGTTGTTCTGTTAGAGTTGCTGACATCGCAGAAGGCGATAGATTTTAACAGAGATGCAGATGATGTGAACCTGGCGGTTTATGTCCAGAGGATGGCGGAGGAGGAAAGGTTACTGGAAGTCGTTGACCCAATGTTGAAGGAGAAAGCAAGTCCCTTAGAGGTGGACACCATGAAGGCATTAGGGTTTCTGGCATTGAGTTGCCTGGAGGAACGAAGACAGAACAGGCCTTCCATGAAAGAAGTTGCTGAGGAAATTGAATATCTTATGAGTATAGGAACAGGTGAGGTCGAAAACTAGTTTGCTGAACAAAGATGACGGGGATTTTCTTCACTGAATTTGCTTGATGTTTGCCTGTATGGTTTCTGTTTTGGTTATTATATAAATAAAAAGCTCAGTTTTGAGTCAACTGATCGTTTCATTAGTGTAAAACAAGAACGAAAAAACACAAAGCTAAAACCGTGCTGTGTATTAGAAGAAGATAATCAGTTCTCCAGGCCCAATTAGGTAGCCTTATAAAATGGACCAAAACCCAGTCCTCGATAATCATTTTTAGCATTAAGATGTTTTATTCATGGACTGTCTTTCTTAGACTCTCAGTACGAAACGAAACCCATCCAAGATCCAATCCATGGTAAGCAGATGCAAGTTTTGTTATCTAGATGTTAGCTAGATATCTATGATTGAAGTACTGACACCAACTTATAAAAAAATTTAACTTTATTAAATGTATCAAGTTGACGTGTATCATGTGTAAATAAGATGTGGTTGTAAAACAAAATTGTCTATGTGTAACCTCTAGAAAAGTAATATGGTAATTGTGATTAGAAGACTTAATGTTCTATATATATATATATATATATATATATGTATCATGTGTAAATAAGATGTGGTTGTAAAACAAAATTGTCTATGTGTAACCTCTAGAAAAACAATATGGTAATTGTGATTAGAAGACTTAATGTTCTATATATATATATATATATATATATATAAGTTGTTAATTTGTTATGCCATCTTGCTAGATTTATAGCCGTTCCATCTAAAAAATTCTTTTTACCATTTTCAGTCAAACACAATAAGGTAGTCCATCTTTGTGTTTTCATACTAGAAGGTAGGTAATGATGCAAAATTATGCCTAAAATATGTTACATTTGTACCAAACTTAGACTACTTAATTTGGTCTCATTCAATTTGACATTCAACTTCCATTGGATTTATGTGCCCTCCTCAATAAAAATTTAAAATTCAGAATCTTATAACAACTTATTCCCTTTGTTTCTCATAATATATTTGAAAATAATTGAATATTGATTTTTTTTTTTAAAAAAAAAACCCTTGCAAGTCATCTGTTTACTTACTCCATTCTAGAATTAGAAGATTGGTGAAGAATTATTATTAAAAATTCGAACAATGAGATGGAAAGTAAACCTGTTTATCGACTGAATCTAAATTTATTTATATAAAGGTAAATATCAATTTTAATCCCTCAATTTTAAGTTTTTATATAGTTTTAGTCCCTCAATTTTTATGTACTTTTTCAATTCTTCAATTATAAAAAAATATATTTTTTAATCATTTTTAAATATATTTGTATATACATATTTTTAATCTTTAAACTTTTAAGCTGAAAAACAAAAATTATGTAAAGTTTTAAAGTTGAAGGATTAAAAATATGTATATATAAATAAACTTAATGAATTAATAAAAAAAACTAAAAAAAATGTATTTTTATAATTAAGAATTAAAAAATTGTATAAAATAGTTAAGAGATTAAAACTATATAAAATTCTAAAGTTGAAAGAGTGAAATTCACATTTAACTTTCATACAAAGCATTGTTGTTGCAATAAGCACATATATAAATATACATGTGGGAAATGCTACATATTTTGGAATTTCGTTAGTTAATACGAAAGCAACACATCAAATAATCGATGAACAGCAGGCTGAATGTCTGTTGGTGAGTTGCAAACCTGATTGCAAGCTTTTATTTTTTTTTGGTTTCTTCATTTTCGCACATTCTCATTTTTCATCGCACTAAAAGCAGATCAATCAACCTCGATGTTAAACTAATCATTGCCGACCAATCGCTTAATTAAAAATATCAAGTCCGTACCGGACTCGATACTTTGCTGCATTTTTAAAACATAACCTGCATCCCTAAATGCATGTCAATGCTTATTATTATTATTATTATTATTTTATTGACCCTCTCGTGCTTGGTGATTATATTGGATCTGAATTAATCTAAAATCAAGTTACATTGAATCCCATTAGAGAAGAAGTTGTTTCTACCAGCGCCTGTTTCTCCATTCACAAGATTCGAATTCAAAATTTTACTTAAGAGAAACTGAATTCATTTCACTTGAACCAATAAATCATTGGTAATGTCTTATTATTTGGCTTATAATGGTGGATATAATAAAGAACCATGTTTATTGCATCAATAATAATAATAATAAGTAAAGAACCATGTTTATAACACTCGAATTGTTCTTTTATTGATTAGTATGCAAGTAAAACCTTCTCAATTATGATTAGGCTCGGGCAAATGGTCAGTTAATCAAATGGGAATTGAAAACTAATAAAAATTAACTAATAGCATGTTTTTACATTTTGTTATATTTATATCCTTTAAAAATTTAAAATTGTGGTTCAAGTATAGTTATTGTTAAATTTAAAATAGGTATTCATTATTAATTTAGTTATAACATATGACTGAGATGTTAAAACCAATTCTTTTAGTCACTGAACCAAAAATCCATAAACATTTTTTTGCTTAATTTTAGTTACTATATATATATAAACCAAATAGTTCAAATATTAATTTCAATTAGACCAAAACCAAACTGTTTGCCTAGCCTTAATCATGACAGTAGAGTTCAAATATATGCAATATAACTCAGTGGAAAGGTTTGTATACTTAAAGTAATAAGTATTTAAATACATAAATATTATTAATAAATTAATATTTATCAATTAAATGTTTCTTAAAATTTTTTTTTTGAAAAAACTATAAAACTACATCATATTAATTAGGATCCTGTTCGACATAACCGTACAGGATGTGAGGACTAAAGCTTATTTTAATTATAAAAATCTGTTGGCCAGATTTTTTTAGAAAAACACTGTATTGTAGTTCAATCAAATAAACTAAGATGTATGTAGAATTAATGCAATACTTGAGCAGCTCGTGGCTGGATTTAGCTGTAATGTTGTAATAATAAAGTAAATTGGTAGACCAAAGACCATGTTTGACAACAATTTCTATATTGGCATGCTTGAGTCTTGAACTTTATATATATATATATATATATACACACACTAATTCTTAAATCAAAAACAAATCAAGGCTTTATTTTTTAATGTATTAGAAGGTTAATTGTTTGATAATATAAAATTTTAAATTTATAACATTAACTTTAAATTAAAAATTTTAAATTAATCACTACTAGAAAAAATTTTATTTCAAACAAAATATTTTGGACAAAAAAATATTTTGACCTAAAAAAAAGCTTAATTCAATCAAGAATTTGGATCGAAATATACTTTAATTTAATTAAAAGATATTTAACATAATAATTTAGTTTAAAATTATTTCGGTTAAAAATATTGACCGAAATAAAACTATTTCAATACTAATTATATACTCCAAACTTACAAACACTCAATGAACCACTGAAACATTTAAGGCTGATCTATTTTTCTAAATTATTTAGAATATAACTATTTCAATATTATTTTAGACGCCCTCTAATTTCACATATTGATATTTATCAATTTAATTATTAAAATATAATATAAAAGCAATAAGTTTAACAAGTTCTTTTATATTAGATACATAATTATATCTTTAA